CGCCGGCGGCGCGGCGGGGCCGGATGCCCCTGGCTGCCCTGCTCCTGGTGGGGCCCAGCAGCCTCTACTACTGGTGAGTGCCCCCCCTGCCTGGGGCTGAGCCGGGAATTCCCTGGGAATTCCCTGGGAACGCTCGGGGAAGAGCTGCTCCGGTTCCCCAGGGATCCCCAGGGCGGCTTTTGCTCGGCGGGGCTGGGAAATCAAATGAAACCTCCTGGAAGTTTGGAGCCACTTGAATCCCTGGAAGCTGGGACAGATCCAGGGGCACCCAGGACAGACCCAGGGCCACCCTGAGCCACCCAGGACAGCCCCAGGGTCATCCAGGACAATTCCAGGGCCACCCAAGACAATCCCAGGGCCACCCAGGACAATTCCAGGCCATCCAGGACCACCCAGGGACACCCAGGACAATCCCAGGGCCACCCAGGACAATCCCAGGGCCCCCCAAGACAATTCCAGGCCATCCAGGACCACTCAGGGGCACCCAGGACAATCCCAGGGTCATCCAGGACAATTCCAGGGTCATCCAGGACAATTCCAGGGCCAGCCAGGACAATTCCAGGCCATCCAGGACCACCCAGGGGCACCCAGAACATCTCCAAGGTCACCCAGGACATCCCCAGGGCCACCCAGAACAATCCCAGGGTTACCCAAGGGTGACCAGGACAGCTCCAGGGCCACGCAGGACAGCTCCAAGGCCACCCAAGACCACCCAGGACAATCCCAGGGTCATCCAGGACCACCCAGGACAATCCCAGGGGCACCCAGGACATCCCCAGGGCCACCCAGGACAGCCTCAGGATGACTCAGGACATCCCCAGGGCCACCCAGGACATCCCTGATCACCACTGCTCCCAGGAGAAGCTGGGAACGCTCTCCAGCCTTCCCAGGACCAGGAATTCCCGCAGGAATTTCCCTTGCAGGTACCTGGTGACGGAGGGGCAGATCTTCATCCTCTACATCTTCACCTTCTTCGCCATGATGGCGCTGGTGATGCACCAGCGGCGCAAGGGGCTGGTGCTGGACAGCAACGGGCTCTTCCTCTTCCTCTCCTTCATCATCACCCTGCTCCTCATCGCCGCCTGGGTGGGCTGGCTCTGGAACGACAAAATCCTGCGGAAGAAATACCCCGGGGTGATTTACATCCCCGAGCCCTGGGCCTTCTACACCCTGCACATGAACAACCTGCACCAGGGCGCCTCCTGAGCCCGGCTGGCGTTCCCTGGGGGATGGGAAAGGGGGGAAAAAAGAGATTTAGGGGTTTTTTAATGTAGATCTGTGCGTTTCCAATAAATCCCTGAGAGGAGGTGGCTGTGTGATGAGATTATAATTAATATGGTATAAAATAAAATTAAGATAAAATATAAAATAAATATGAAATAGTATATAAATTGGTGTTATATAAAATAAAATTAAGATAAAATAAGATAAAATGAATATAAAATAATATCATATAAATTAGTGTTATATAAAATAGAATTAAGATAAAAATAATATAAAATAAATATAAAATAATATAATATAAATTAGTATTATATAAAATAAAATTAAGATAAAATATAAAATAAATATGAAATAATATATTAATTAGTGTTATATAAAATTAAATTAAGATAAAATAAGATAAAATAAATATAAAATAATATCATATAAATTAGTGTTATATAAAATAAAATTAAGATAAAATAATATAAAATACATATAAAATACATATAAAATAAATATAAAATAATGTCATAAAATTAATATAATACAAAATAAAATACATGTAAATTAATATAAAATAAAATACATATAAATAAAATACATATAAATGAAAATAATATAAAATAAGACAGAATAGAATAGAATAGAATAGAATAGAATAGAATAGATAAAATAATGAATACAATACAGTAAATATTAAATATTCTATTAATTATATAACATCAATTACATTCATATTAATAATATATTTATTATGATATAATTAATTATATAATAATAAAATAATATATTATTATATTAATATATTAATATACTAATAAATATATCTATATTTAGATATATATTTTTATATTTTATTCAGAAAAATCTCTACAAAATTAAAAAAAATTCAAACTAAACAATTAAACAATTTAAAAAAACCTCGATTTTTTCCCAACGACAAACAGATTTGTTTGGAATTCCAAAACTCGAGCCCGGATCCTGAGCTCTCCCAGCTCTAAGGAAGTCACAGCTCGATCTTTCCCACTCCCGAGCTTTGGAAAATCCCTTTTTTTTTCCCCGGGAGCAGGCGGGGCCGGGCTGAGCCGTATCCATAGCAGCGGGATTTTATTACAGCCTCACCC